CCTGGGGCATTGCACTCGAACATTGACCAGGCCAGTAGGCATCCCTGAATAATGACCAGAGCTACCTGATCCCAGATTCAAGCTGGGCTTAGAGATTCAGCCCAGGGGCTCGTAGAATAAAGACAGAAGGGTTTCAGGACTGAAGATTCCAGAAACCTTAGGCAATGAGTCCCCACCTCACATCCAACATGAAACTAAAGCACACTTTCTCCATCTTATCCACCCTGGTGACCTGGTRTGGCACATGCTTAATAAACATTCCTGATGTCCAATCCTAAACTCTTAGCATCTTTGTCCTTTTGGAGGGCAAAGGACCTGAAAGTGCATCAGAGTCTCTGCCCTTGTGTCAGATGCAGAAACTGAGGCCCAATGACAGAGAGAGGGAGAGACTGGTCCAAGGTCACCCTACCTTAGCATCTTTGAGGTTTCTTTGCTTTCTAGCCAAAGATGGAGACTATGCTATGTTCCTCACAGCCAAGAGCAGTGGGGACAGAGGAGAGGCAGGGACCCAGCAGAGATCTCCCTGTCTCCAAGGGGTAGTGGGAAGATGACAGCCTATATTGGCTTCTTGCTGCTCTGCCTAAGGAGTTCCTTTGTGTGGCCAGAGATGGTCCCCAAGATGRTCTGGCAGCTGTTTATAGCAGATCTCCTATAGAGAAAAGAGCCCAAATGCTGAGAGGGAYTTTATTCCTGGCTCTTCCCCAATTCTCTATATGACCTTGAGCACAACCTTGAACATGAGGTCTCCTTGGCCTCAATGTATCCAGCAGCAGGCTGGACCCAACCAACTGGAGAAGTCAGGGATTCCATCTTCATTCCCCCATGGGGTCTCCTCCCTGTCTCTGTCTTATCTTAGATTTTACCCACCCCACTTGGAGCAGAAAGTGGGCCAGGGGCAAGAAGAAAACAGCAGCTGATGAATTATGCCCAAGTTTCACTTCAAGCTAWGAAATTCCCTGAGAGAGAGAAAAAGCTAGGAAGGCCTTTAAGATCATCCCAGTGAAGGAAGCTGAGACCAAAGAAGGTCAGCAAATTACTTGGGGTCATGCAGCAAGTCATGTGCAAACTGGAAATAGACAGTGGGTCTCCTGACTCCCAGATCAGTGCTCTTTCAACTGACCATCTGCACTTCAAAATGACAGGCACAGAAGTCATCCTCCTGTGGACCCAGCCATCCATTCTCCTGGACCACTCAAAGTCTCAGGCAAGGAGCCTGAAATCCTTCCTCTGAGATTCAGTGTTCTCTTCCATAAAGCAGGGAGGTGGTATGGAGCACATGTCTCTAGGAGCCTGTACCACCAGGAGCCCAGGGCTTTCCTGGGTGGCCCCCGCTACCCCCACCTCTGCCCTTTTCTCAGAGATTGTATGGGACCTAGGCCAGAAAATCCCACCCAGAAATGCCCCCATCCAGTCCTGTCCTACCCCAGACCCCACGGCTGGGCTTCATCCAGAATTAGAGGCTCCAGCTCAGCTTCCCTCTGAAGATCTGGATTTTTCTTACCATAAAAGGGCAAGAGTGCCTCTCTTGGTCCCTGCCGCCAGCCCTGCTGAGGGAAAGGCTGAACTATTTTTAGAAAACCCAAGGRTTTGCTCCTGAAGTCAGGATGGAGCTTGTCTGTGTCTGCACCCCGGAGCCCCTTCCCATCTCTCCCTCCTCTTCCTCCCATCCTCTCTCTTCTGTGGGTCTTCCTCTCACCCTCTTCCTCTCAATCTCCATCAATGTGTCTTCCTTTGTCTTTCTCTCCCTCCTGCCTCCCATCTCTTTTCTCTTCCTTCCCCCTCCCTTCTCCCTGTCTCTCCAATCTTTTCATACCCAGCTTCCCTCCCCCATCTCCCTCCCTCAGATCTTTGTGGTGATTGGAGAAAGTAACACATCTGCGCCCCCCCCACCCCCTTCTGAAAAACTATTTACAACATCAATTCCAAACATCCGCCATCTGGTTCTAGGAAGGGCCAAAAGTTATTTGGAGAAGGAAGTCACGATTATTCCATCTTCAAGGCCACAGGAACTTAAGGCCCTCTTCTCTCCCACCTTCCTCCAGGGGCCCCTGTGTTATTATCTGATGAATTATGCCCCCTTAGGGAGGCAGGACCTTGGCTGGGGTACCAGCTGGGCCTCTGGTAGCATGCATTGCTTTGAACTTATTGCTTCTTCTCTTTGTGCCCCTGCTTCCTTATGCAAACAGTAAGTTTAAAACAAGGATCCTTCTAGTACTAACGCTCCGAGACTTCAGGTCCAGCTGCAGAAAATCCTCCTGATCCAGGTCATAGAGGCCAGTTTTGGGCTTAGCAGTAAGGAGTGGGTTGAGGGTGGGAGTCTCCCTGGGAGGCCCTGTATACTGTGAGGTCCAGTGTGGATCCCGAGGCCCAAAGAATGGAAGACCCTGTCCCTGGTCACACAGCATACATATCTACAGGATGCCTGGTGCTTCACCTACTGCTTTTCCCATGCAACTTGTATCAGGAGAAACTGTTGGTTTTATTATCCCAAAAGCAATACATGTCCCTGAAACCCTGGAGGCCCCTGTTCTTTGCAAAGACTCAGGACAGAAGGCAGAACCAATGCCTTTATTGTGGTAGTGGGTTTTGTTGCTTGTTTTTTTAACKCATGCACCCCATGCAAGAAAAAGATTCTGGGGAAAGAGGCAGAGGARTGACCAAAATAAGAAGCCCCCTTGCTTTCAGTGACATGTGGTCTTCACCAGGGCCCAAGTGGTTTTTACTTAGACAAAGTGCTTTCTCTGTTCACAACCTCCCACCACAAAGACCAACACACACCTGGAAAATGCCACGAGATCCTGACTCAGGTTATTCCTCTAAAAATGGTGCCGTGAATAATCTGGGTCTGCAGGGGAGCCATGGAAGTACCTGTTGGGCTGCCTGATACTGACATTCCCCTTGTCACCTTGAGCAAATGCTGTAACTTCTGAGAGCCTCAGTTTCCTCATCTGGAAAATGGGGATTAAGAGCAATACCTAAGTCATAAATGATCATGAGGATCAATTGCAAATACTTTGACAAGGGGGAGCTGCCTTGTCAAAGGCCTGGATGCTGTTAGCCACTCTTAGGACTGAGCAGATCCCAAAGTGCCTGGCGCACAGGAAGACAGAAAGGTGAGAACTCCTATCCTCCCACGCTTCCCCAGTTTGCAAGGCCAGGGTGACAGCAACCATAGGAATCCTGGTCTGCAGGCCCCTCCCACGGCGGGCTGAGCTACTAGAGGTAGGCCCCAGGGCTCTAGGCCAGGCAAGCCMGGGGCCCCTTTTCTTCCCTCTTTTCCCTGTGGGTTTGTTTCGGCCTCGTACCCCTTTCCCAGGGCTTGCTGAAAAGTCCTGGAGCTCCCCTCCCTGGGGAGGAAGTGGGGGGCGTGTGAGACTGGTGAACTCTGTGGGGATGCCTGGGAATAGAGGCCCAAGGAAACTGTGCACAGAGGGGACAGAAGGAGGGCTCCTGGCTCCCACAGCCAGCTTCCACATCTGCCCTGGATGCCGGCTGGACCTCCTCCCTCCTCCTGGCTGCCCGTGCTAATAGGGCAACTGTGACCATGTATCTGGGCTTACTGTGTGCATGGATCTGTGCTTGCACTCCCAACTGCCTCACTTGACCATCACAAACAAGGTGGTGAGGTCAAAGCCAAAGTTCAGAGAAGTGAAGACACTGGTCACACAGTTGTAAGGGCCAGAGGTGAGATGCAAAGACAGGGACCCGGTGTCTTCATTTTTTCCAAACATATGGCAAAAACCTGGGCCCTACAGCCCAGGGCGGGAAAAGGTTGTAGGGATGTGTGCCTGTGTGAGGAGCTGGGGACGGGAGTTGTGGCAAGGAAGCCTCTCTGGAAACAACCAGGTTCATRAGCATGCTTCACGGGCTCACGCAGAGCCCTGGCCTCAGCCCTCTCCCCACAGTGGTGCCATCTGGCCCGCAGATGTGGCCCATTCCCAGCCCCTCATGTTTCTTGGAAATGAGCAAGGCCAGGAGAGGCCACTGGGCTTTTGCAATGACCATTACGATGTGAGTTTTGTTTTGTGGTCATCCAGCTGGCTCTTGCCCATGCTCAAGGGACAGCCGAATTGAGCATGCAGAGCCTGGGTCCAAGTCTGCCTCTGACACTGGTCGGCAGATGACCCTGAGCAAACCATACTGCCTCTTTGAACTCACCCCTGGCAGTGTCTGTGAGCATTCTGACTGACGGGAGAGTATCTCCCAGGCTGCAAGCCTGGTACTGTTGGAAAGGGTCACAGGTCTAGCTTAGCCCCAGATTTCAATCTTCCGCTGTCTGGCTCCTTTCCTATRTGTGGGGCTGGAAGTGTGGCTGCTGGTCAGAAGTGCCTCTGGGAAATTTCCTTCCAGACCAGTGCTTTTGCTGATGGAGTCTGACTGTGCTAGAAGGGAAGGTAACTCCTCTAGTCATGAACCTAAAAGTTTCTCTGAAGACCCTCTTTCAAAGCCAGGTAGGGCTGGGGATGTGGCTCAGTGGTAAGGTATATGTGCTGTATGTGCAAGGCTCTGGGTTCAATCCCTGGCACTGCAAAACATTTTTAAAAAGAAGAAAACCAAAGCTAGGCGGCAAAGCAGGGATACTGGAGCCCTCAGGGCCTGAAAACTCTATAGGGGATTGAGCCCAAGACTTGTATGTGTGTGTGTGTGYGCGTGSGCAYGAGCCCGAGCACACGTGCACGGGGTGGGGGGGTGGAGGGGTGGGGAGGCGGGGGGGGGGGTCGGGGGAGGCTCCCTATCACTAAGCCACATCCCAGCCCTTTTAGTTTTTTTATTTTGAGACAGGGACTCACTAARTTTCTGAGGCTGGCCTTGAACTTGTGATCCTCCTGCATCAGTTTCCCCAGTGGCTGGGATTACAGGTATGCACTACCACAAGTGGCTAGCCCAAGACTTCTGAGCTGGTGATAGCCAAGGCAGCCTGATCAGGAACTTGGGAGGCCATGACTCTGGCCATAAGGCAGTTGGCATGCCTCTGACAGGTGGGGTATTTGTTTCTTTAGGCAAGGGCACTGGCTGGTGGAAGCCACCTACCACCCTGGCACTGGATAACCAACAACCCTGGAGAGAGAGCCTCCTAGAGACCAGAAGAGGGAGGCGGCAGGCAGCCCTGRCAGCAGAACTGTGAGTATTCCCCCTCCATCCATCCACACACCCCGCTCAGCAGGCAGCACCTGGAGTAACCTGGACCCTTGGGAAAAGGCCACATCCTGCCACTCATGACCCAGAAGCCAGGCCTCAGAATGCTAACGAGCAGCCAGGCACAGTCGTACACGCCTGTAATCCCAGTGACTGGGGAGACTGAGGCAGGAGAATTGCGAGTTCAAGGCCAGACTCAGCAACTCAGTGAGACCCTGTCTCAAAATAACAAATGAAAAGGGCTGGGGATGTGGCTTGCTGGGTTCAGTCCCCAGTACCAGGAAAAAAAAAAAAATGCTAAAGAGAACTTGGTCAAAGGAAAGTCCCTGTAGATGAGTGGCACTGAGGGTCATTCAGGGCTGTTGGGGTCTGGGTTAAAGGTGAAAAGAAATGAAACCAAAGAAGGGAAAATCAACCAGGAGCCAAGAAATCATCCCACCCCACTTTCCCTACAAAATAGCCACGCAAAGCCCATGTGTCAGGGTGGCCAAGAGAATCAAAGACATAAGACCAGTAGTAACCYTGCCTAGAAAGAAATGAACAGAGTCAGAATCCAGAGGCAGGACAGTCACTGAGCCTCTCTGAGTCTCRTTCTAACCAACCAGGTCAACTGGCTTTGGGAGCCCTCCTGTGGGCAGGCTGTCCCAAGTGGGCAACCCTTAGCACACAGTGAAGCTCAGGAGAGGTGGCAGCCATTTCTACCACTGATCATATTCTTCCCACACTTGCCAATTGCTGAAGACACTTCCACGCTCACAGCAGGATGGGAATGGGCAAGGTGAGGTGCCAGCTCTGTAAGACTGGAGGGGAAACTGAGCCCCGGGAGGTGAAGGAACCCACTCAGAGTTGCACGGAGAGTTACAGARGGGACTTCCGGCACCAGATCTCATGTGGATGGGAAAATGGGGAGAAGATTTACCCCCATCTGGCTCCTTTCCTATGTGGGAGGGGAGAGAGAAGGAAGTAGCGCTCTAGCAAGGAACTGACACCTGGGAAGGGGAACAAAGGGACGAAGCCCAGGCCTGTCTTACATAATACAGTCAACCAACCTGTTCACYCTGCACGCTCCATACGTGTGTGCAAACGTGCACCCCAGCACAGMGGGCACCCAGTCCTCCCGCTAACAAATGAGTCACAGAGACTGGGTCTAAACAAATTGGATTAGAAGGGCCGCAGGCGCCTGCCCCACCCCCACCCAACACCCACTGTCCAGCTCCAACACTAAGCAGGCCTGCAGGACTGCCAGCTGCGGTCTCTCAGCCACACTGACAGCCAGTCCCCAGCCCCCAAGCCCCACCCCCAACCCYCGGGAAGGGGTCCTAGAGGATGCCAGGATGATGGATGGGGTGAGGGAGGTTCCAAGGCCGCCTCAAGAGCACACAGGAAGTCAGTGCTTGTGTGAGGCACATTTCCGAGCTGTTCCCAGAAGCCCACCCCCACCCCCTCAGCCYCCCTCTTTCCAGCCTCTCCCACCATTGGTGCTGTCTGGCTGGGACTTGGGACCAGCCTGAGGCTCCAAGCAGAACCCAAAGTCCAGGCTCTGAGCACAGGTACCTGTCACCTCTCTGTCCCACAGCTGGGCTGAGCGGGAAGTGGTCAGCTCAGGAGGCCATTCTGACCATCTGGGGTGACACTGTGCCACGGGCACTGTAGAAGAAAGGAAAACTTGTGAGACAAGGCTATCTTTTTTTTTCAGGGTGAGTGTCAGGGTACTTGGAATTGAGCCCAGGGGCACTTTATGCCTGGGCTATATATTCCCAACCCTTTTTAATTTTTATTTTTTAATTTGAAACTCAGTTGCTTAGGGCCTTGCTGTGTTTCTGAGGCTGGCTTTGAACTTGCAGTCCTCCTGTCTCAGGCTTTCAAGTTGCTGGGATGCCAGGCATGTGCCACCATGCTACACAAGACAAGGCCATCTTAAGTGTGGCACCTGACTGCTTTTTCATGGATTTTTTTYCCCTAGTACCAGGGATTGAACCCAGGGGTGTCTAACCACATCCCCAGCTGTTTTTATTTTTATTTAGAGACAGGACCTCGCTAAGTTGCTGAGACTGCCTTTGAACTTGCAATCCTCCTGCCTCAGCTGCCCAAGCTGCTAGGATTACAGATGTGCACCAGCGCCCCTGGCTTTCATGGGTTGTGTTGTTTAATCCTGAGAATGTGCCTTGGAGTAAGGGGATTGTGCCCGTGGTACAGGTTGACCTGTGAAGCTTTTTAATCCAATGATTCCACAGAACCCCTTTCTGAGCCCTGAGTCTGTGCCAGGCACTATGTGATGTGCCGAGAATACCAAGATGAATGACCTTGTAGCTCCTGTTCCTGTTGCTTAAAGGAATTGTCCCCCCTGGGCTTGGTCACTAGGCATTCGGGTCTTCTAGGAGAGTGGCTCCAGTGTAATCTCTTTTCATACAGCACCTATAAGTGTCTGCGTGTTTCCACCAAGAGGAATCTCAGCCCAGACCCCGATATCAGATAGTCCCAAGTTGGAAGGCTGTCTCACACCCTGTCAGCTGGATAGCTATTGTCAAATGATTTGGCCTCTCCAAGTCTGTTTTCTTTTCTGCAAAATAGGGATTCAAAAGCTCCCACCCGGTAGGGCTGATGAGATTGATTTTTATTTTCCATACTCCCATTGGACAGAAGGAGAAACAGATATATGGAGAAGAAAGGGCTTAGCCAGGTCACACTGAGTCAAGTCAGGACCAGGTGGGTCCCCTCCTCTCTGGATGATTCTCTTCCACCATCCCYCATCCCCATATGAATCCTCCCACCCACTCTCCCCAAGCAGCCAGACACCAGGACAGTTGGTTTATACAGGTGATAGCTGGGGCAAGTCCTGGATTCTGCTCTGGCCTCCACAGCAGCCTRGTTCCAGGTGACCAGCAGTGTCCTGCAGCCCTTTGCCTGGTGGTGGAGGTGGGGAGGGCTGGGCAGGCTCCCAGCCCAGACCAGCCAGGCCATATAAGGAAGGAGCCCTGGTCAGCCTCCTCGCCGAGGCCTGGTGAGAAAACCCAGACAGCCACTGTTTATTTTCTCCCTCCCAGCCTCCCCTTCACCCACCCTTCCCCAGAGCCTTCCAACAGCCTGCCGACCCAGTTTCCCCCAACCCAGAGACGTTTCCTGGAGACATCCAGAAAGGGAGGGGAAAACAGTGCCTTCTCCTGGGAGCAGACCCCCAAGTCACCCACAGCCAGCACTGAAAGCCACCAGGTAAAACTCTTGACACCGCCTGGCTCAGTCACCTCCTTCAACAGAAGGGGAAAGAGCGCCACAGAGAGGAGAGGGGCCTGGCGTGAAGTCACTTGCCAACTGGCGACAGAACCAAGACTCCCAAACGGCTTCCCCCATCTCCCCTGGGATCCAGTGTGAAGGAGCCTTTCATGGGGTAAGTGAAATAGGGGCCAGAGAGCCCCTTCTCAGTGAGGCCCTCGCTTGAAGGAAACAGGGGATGGGACAAGTGCTGCCTGCCAGCCCAGAAGTGGGCAAGACTCAAACGAAGTGTTCCCGGGGCCAGAGAGCCAGGAGGAAGGGCACCCTGCCTGGACCTCTGCCCCTYCCCACAGCTCAGCAGTACCACCTCCTCCTCCAGGAAGCCTGCCCAGCTCCCCCAGGGATTGGAACCTCTCTGTCCTCTAAGCCCTTGACAGTCCTTTCATGGGGTCTTTCTTGACCCTCTTAGGTCTGCCTTCCTCTCTGTCAGCCTGACTTTGCCATACCAGGGCAAGTATTGTGTCAGATTTGATCCCATCTCCCTCTGCATGTAGATGAGGCTCTTGCTCTGCTGTATGGACAGATGTGGTGATGAGATCTTGTCCCAAAACCAGAGACTGGGACATGGGTCAAGAGATGAGACATCTGTATAGAGGTCAACAGTGAGGGACCCGGGGTTGGCCGTTCTGAGTGAGGAATCCCAGTTGCAGGTCCTTGCTCTCTGCCTTTGGAAAATTCCATTCCCATGGAGCCTCAGGGTGTCCACAAGGATTTGCACAATTAAAGCATTTCAATAAATGACCATTCTTATTATAGTCATCATCAACATGATTGTCCTAGATGCAAAGGGACAGATCTAGGTAGCCTCTAGCCTGGGGAAGGACAGACCCAAGGGCCCATTGGAGATGGAGGCAAAGACCTCCTGTGGCCAAAGGCTGCATCTCAGCCCCCTGCCYGGGCACCAGTCTCTCCCCCAGAGAAGCATGGGGCCCCCTACTGCTGGTTCCTGCCTCTCATGCCAGGAGACCTGCTGTCTTGGATGCACTGTCTTCTACCCACAAGGAGAGGTGGAAACAGGCCCCTCCCCAGATGCAGCTCAGGCTCTGCAACCCTGGAATTGTTACCTCCCGTTCCTGGTCCTCCAGCGGAGGTGGACCTCACCAGCTGTCTGAAGATCAAAAGGCATCAGGCATCATTTCCCACACTCAGCCTTTCCCATGCTCCTTTTATTTTGTAAGTTGAGTCCTTTTTTTTTTTTTTTTTTTTTTTGTACTGGGGATTTAACCCAGGGGCACTGGACCACTGAGCCACCTCCCCAGCCCTATTTTGTATTTTATTGAGAGACAGGGTCTCACTGAGTTGCTTACTGCCTCACTCTTGCTGAGGCTGGCTTTGAACTCACCATCCTCCTGTCTCAGCCTCCCTAGCTATTGGGATTCTAGGCCAGCACCAGTCCTTTGGAATGCTAAAGTAGAAACAGTTGCTTAAATGGTAAATACTTAAATGAAACACTGGAACACTGTCCATAGTTAAAAATAAATACAATGAAAATGAAACAACATTGTTAACACTTTAACCTGAAACTGTGGCTGGTCAGGCCCTGGGCCTGAAGCCCAGGTGGGTGATAAGYAGGACTCAGAAAGGTGTCCCAGGCAGGACAGCACCAAATGGAGAATTTTCTCCCCCTGATACATTGAAGGACTGAAAGCAAATCAACATGGAACAACTGAGGCCACCAATTCCCAGAATCACTCACTCTACCTCCTGCCCTTGGAGGCCGATGGTGGTGCAGAGGAGTGGGCTTTGCCAACAGTCACCCAGGGACGGTGGGGATTCCTTCTCAGCTTGACTCATGGGAGTGAAGCTGCACTTTTTTAGGATAACCATCTGGCTCTCACTGAGATCTCCCTTGGTCAGGCTAAACACCTCCCCTCCCAGGGAACAGGAGCTGTGGGGTATGGAGCAAACAGKCTGTCCCTGACCCCCAAATGAGGCCAGTGTCCCTATTACCAGCCAGCCAAATGCACTAGGAAAGAAGTTTCTGCAGGAAAATTCCAGATAAGAAGAAGGCAGGGCTGTTCCATTAGCAGACCATCAAAAGTGGCCTGCCCTCAGCAGCAGACCAGAGGACAATGCCCTCCCTCCCCCCCCAGCTCAGACGGGACCTGATGTCAGATTTCTGCTGGAGACAGAGTAAACATGTTTGTTTGTTTTTAATGGAGCCGCATATTTTTTTCTGTTCTCTCCCAGCCCTGAGGAAAGTCTGCTTACCCCTTTCACACATCTCTGAGAATACCTGTCATCTGGCACCAAGGCCACCATAGTCACCATCAGCAAAGCAGGAGGGTCCTCTGGGGAGCCTGAGAGCTTGGCAGAGCAGGAGGAATTGGGGAAGGGCTTCACTCACCTGTCAGGCCCAAAGGAGAACATGCATTACCTACGTGGCCATTTAATCAGCCACCATATGACACTCTCTGTAGCCCATCTCCCTGGACAAAGCCATCAGCAAGAGCTAGGGACCCCTCAATTAATAAGACATGGGGCACTGTCTTCAGGGAACTGGAAATCTAACCAGGTCAGACACCCAGGCAAATAACTCCCATACTAGAGAGAGCGAGACTGAGGAGATGGTTCAGCCACTCAGCCAATGCTATGGGGCATCCACACTGCCAGACCCTGATCTCAGGGCTGAGGACAGTTGCCAGGGCTCTTCCCTTGCAGGTGGGCCTCACAGTCCACAAGTGAAAACCACAACTCAAGAGCAGTAAAGGAAAAGAGTGGTCCAGGATAGGGAAGCGTGTGAAGCAGGGAGTCCTGAGATCTAAGAAGTCAGGGACAGCAGCCCGAGGTRGTCATTTGAGTAGAGACAGCACACCAAGAAGATATGGTTGGGGGAAGGAGGGGGGACAGCCCAGCACCAGGGCAATGGGGAGCCCCTTCCAGAGTATAAGCCCAGGRAAGATTGAGCACATTTGCATTTTGAAAAGTCACTTTGGGAGGATGGGTAAGAAGAAAGAAGGAGAAAAGGGAAGACAGGTTGGATACAAGTGTTTAATGAATAAATGTCAAGTACCAGGATGCTGTTTGACTGGGGTGCATCACACATAAAGATGAGGCATAGGGTCAAAAACGGAGGTCAGCCTACTTGATGATTCCAATTATGGAAATGTCCAGAACAAGCAGATTTATAGAGGCAGAAGGTGGTCCACCAAAGGCTGGGGTTGGCTAAGAAAGGGGCTTTCTTTATCTTGGGAGAGSGGGGTTGGTGATGAAATATTCTAAAATGGATTGTGGTGATAGTTACACAACTTTGTGATTAAAAACCATTTAAGACCAAACGTAATGGCACATGCTTATAATCCCAGTGACTTGGGAGGCCAGAGCAGGAGGATCACAAATTTGAGACCAGTCAGCAATTTAGTGAGACTCTGTCTCAGAACAAAAAATATGAAAGGAGCTGGGGATGTAGCTCAATGGTAAAGTACCCTGGGATTCAATCTCTAGCCTAAAAGGAAAAGAAGAGGAAGGTCGAGGTTTGATCCCAGAGGTCTTCAATGTCAGGCCAAGGWCAGGAAACGCTGCTGAGATAGCTCCAGCAGTCCCCGGGCAGAGCTGGAGGGGTGGAACTGAGGTCCCCTCTCATGCCCCTTCTCCTGTCCAGGGAGGAGTGCCTACCACCGGCCAGCCAAGCGGAGCAGTGCAGCGCCCTGTCCCCCAGCCTGAGGTGCAGTGCTGCATCTCTGGTCAGTTGGGAGTCTGAGATGAAGCACTGTAGCTCGGGAAGGGAGAAGTTGTTCTGCAGCCATCATCCTGGAAGCGGTAAGTGAGGTACCAGGAAGGACTGACGGGGAGTTCACAGACTGCAGACSGTCAGCAGCTGGCAGAGGTGGGGAGGTTCTACCAGTGTCACRATGGGCTTTGTGATTCCAAGCAGGCCCTGCCCCTGTGAACCCARAACGTCTATCTGTAGCACAAGGTGTTGAGCCACTCTGTGGAGACTGCTATCTGGTAATCTGCCTCCACATCCTCTTTCTGAGCCCACAGCGGACACTGCTAATCCGTCAAGGCAGCCATTCTTGAGTGTTTGGATACAGCTTTAGAATCCTGCTCAACTGAGACCTGGACAGTCACTCTTAATGATTTGGAGCTGAAACCCATTTATCATGTGTAGATCAGACAATTCCTAAAAACCCTTTTAGCCCTAGAGACAGAAGTCCTGGGCTTTGAGTCAAGGTCTTTGCTCTCTGAGCTCCTAATCTTGGATCTGGGCTGTTGCCTAAACGAGTGCAGGCATCTCATAAATGTGTGAGCTCTCCCAGAGGCTTTGGACAAACAATGAGCAGCAGAGGAGAGCCACTGGGCTGGCACAATTTTATTTAACCTCCCCCATAGCTTGGGAGATGGACCGTGTCACTGGGCCACTTTACAGAGAAGAAAACTGATGCTCTGTTAAACGACTTACCCAAGGTCACACAGACTGTGCTGAGCCGGAGTTGTTGCCTCATCTGTCTGTCTCCAGATCCACATTCTCACCCATCGGTGGTGATTATGGAATCCAGGATCGGGGAGCAGGAAGAGAAGCTCACCTGTGTTCATACCTGGGGTCACTTTAGCAAAGACAGACCCAAACACTTGCATGAATCCTTTCCCCTGCTCTCTGATCTCATTTATTTCCCCACTAGGTCCTGTACTATCCCATTTAACAATGAAGGAAAGCCAGGGCTCAGAAGTTAAGTGATTTGCCAGGGGTCATCGGTGAGGAAATTGCCAGAGACTGGGAACTCCATCTGCCCAATTGAGACTGGGATCTGGGTTGCCAAATGTTTCTGATGGACATCGTCAGTCTGGGTTTGATGACAGGGAAGGTACTTTCCAGGGCTCTTGAAGTTCCAGTCACTACTCTTCCCAGAGCAATGGGCTGCATCCTGTGAGACATGGCACCCACACTAGCCGCTGCCGCCATGGCTGGATGCGGAAGAAAACCCCAGCTGGCCTGTAGGGACATGGCAGCCTTGGTTCTGAAGGCCACTCACTCTCTCCCACCTTGTCCTCACGGTCCAGTTTTCCCAGGAATCCCTTGGATGCTAAGATGGGGATTCCTGGAAATACTGTTCTTGAGGTCACGGTTTAGCAGCTGGATTCACCTCCCTCCCACCCTAGCAGTGTCCCGTGGGATGAGGGTCAAGGAGAAGGTCATGCACTGGAGGTAAGAGGGCTTGTGAACTATGTTCTTGACCTTTAAGTTGCTTTTCTTTCCACTGTGTCCATTTCGTAACATCCCTGTGAGGCTGGATGTGGGAACTTCAGCATTGTCGCACTCTGGAGAAGCTTGTTCCAAGTCACACAGCCGAGCAGTGGTTGAACCAGGACACCAGGAGGCATGAGTTCTTCCCCATCCCTCCCCACCCTCCCCCACTTCCCTGCAGGGCTTGCGATAGGAACGACAGTATCGTATCCACGTTACTGAGAAACTAATACATGCACGTGAATTTATTTTAAAAGTTTATTAAATCAGTTAGGTAAACTGCAAACCATAAGGCTTAATTTCATTTGGAAAGCAGCCACAGAAAAATGGAAAAAAAAAATTTAATTAGAGAAAACAAGACTCAGGACGCCCTCTTGTGGTGCTTCTACTCACTGCAGTGCCCTGAGACCATCCTACACACCCTACCACTAAAGCTACTTCCTCAGCCCTTTTCTTCTAAAATTTTGAGAGAGTCTTGCTAATTCTCAGAGTCTGGCCTAGAGCTTGTGCCTCAGCCTCCTGAGTAGCTGGGTTATAGGCATCACCACCATGCGCAGCCCTAATCAGTTGAGCCACTTATATCTTATTTACCACTTTGCTACCTACCAAGCAGCCATCATTTACAGTTCACTTTTTATTCCAATGCCCAGTTTCATCCTCAAAGTTCCACTAAGGTTAGTAGGGTCAGTGAGGTTGAGAGGTAAAGTGACCAGSCCAAGGTCACCCAGACAGCCAGAGGCAGAGAAAGCACAGATTTCAAGTTCTGTGGCCTCTGTCACTGTTTYAGCCAAAGCAAAAACTACAAAACTAAAAGAGACTGCCTCCCCCACTACRTAGAGGGAATGCTAACTAAATAAATGCCCAAATCCTAAACTAGAACTTTCCCCAAACTCTTTCTAGTGCTTTTTATGGATTTGGTAGAGATAACTGTCATGGCCCCAGAAATCTCATTTTGGGGTCTGATGGCCACATTCCCAGGGACCAGGTTGTTCCCACAAATGTCCCAGGCTGTGTTCCTAACAGGCTATGTTGTAGATCTTTAGGAAATAAGACTCATACATGGAGACTGGGGCAGCCTGACCATAGGAATATCAGATTTGCTAGTAAAAATAGCAATAATGGCTTCCCCTTTTGACTGTTCATAACTCACCAGGGACTGAGCCGAACATGTGTGCAAGCCTGGTCTCAGTTCTCCCGGCAGCCCACTGAAGTCAGTTCTACTACTTAATTCATAGACAAAGAGATCCAAGGCTGAGAAAGGTCGAGAGATTTAGCAGAGACCACCCATGGTGAAGCTGGCATCAAATCAAGTCTGTGTTTCTGCTTTTAACCATGACATGTGGTCCCCCATCCCCACTTGTCCTGGTTGGTGGGGCTCTGTGCTGGGGAGGCTTACCCTTTGCTGAAACCCAAGTGACCTCTCCTGTGCTATGTGGCTGTAATAAAGTGCTGAACTCTTGGCTCATTTCCTTTTTCTTCCTGAGAACATGATGAGGAGGCAGGGAAAGACCCTCCTCCTAACAGCCCCAGATAAGGTAATCCCCCACCCGCCTCCCGCCTCCCGGTGCTTCCTATCATCCACCACTTCCAGAGGCAGCAGAGATAGCAATCAGGGGCCACCTTCAGGCAATCAGATGCCACCACTGTCTAGGAATGTAGGGCTGGGGGAGGGAGAGCATCCCCTGGGGCTCAGCAAGGACCGTGGAGCCTGGCCACGTGACAGCCCCTTGTCCTTCAGTCTCAAAGGTGTGACTAGCATCTGGTCAAACAGGAGACACAGACTAGAATCTGAGGCCAGTTCAYACCTCACACAGCATTTCAATTCCTAGTGCCCCGCAGGCATTAGCYGGGTTGCACAATGACATTGGGCTTCAGCTGTACCATGGGCAGCAGGGCCAGTCCTCCACACTGCCACATTTTGAGAACAAAGCTCTTCTTACATGGTGATTCCCAAATGCCAAGGACCTACCCAAATCTCTCCTTTGTACCCTAGAACAAACTGAAGGAAGGCCCGGATGGCTGCACTTCCTCCCTGGGAGCCTGGGGTTCACAAGGGCTGGGCCCTCTTAAGAAGCAGGGAGAAGGGGCTGGGATTCTGGCTCAGCGGTAGAGCACTTACCTAGCGCAGGCGGGATCCGGGTTCGATCTTCAGCACCACAWAAAAATAAAGGCATTGTGTTGTGTCCATCTACACCTAAAAATATTTTTTAAATATTAAAAAAGAAGAAGAAGGGAGAGGCCCTGGGCAGCAGAACTCTTCCTACCATGTTCTGTTTTTTTTTTTTTTTCCTGCACCAAGGATTGAATCTAGGGACACTTAAACACTGAGCCACATCCCCAGCCCTTTATTATTATTATTATTATTATTATTGAGACAGGGTCTCTCTAAGTTGTTTAGGAACCCCCCTAAGTTGCTGACACTGGCTTTGAACTTGGGATCCTCCTGCCTCGATCCCAACTTGCTGGGATTACAAGTGTGTGCCACCACACCCGGCTCATGCACCCAATATTTTTAGCACTGACACAGGAYGGAGGGAGAACTCAGGCCTTCTAGAAGCTTGCAGTTCTTATCCTTCTGCAGTTTCTCCTAGAATTTATACTACACCTTAGGGAATGTATTGCCAGCTGAGTTGGGGACTTAGCTGACTCCTACACACAGGGATCTGAGGTCTGCAGGCGTCTCACAGTCAAGGGGTRGACAGGAATAGCAACAAATAGCCACCTAAATTAGACTCCCCCTTGTCCCCTCAGCAGCACTCAGCAAGCATTTTGGGTGCGTACATGTGCCTRGAGCTGGATAGACAGGCTCACGACACCAGAGGATCCCCACTCTGCAGGCATGCTCTAAYACACATATGCAGATAGAGATCCTGGCCTCCGCCTGCAGAAACCAGTGCTGAGACCACGGCCCAACACAACCCAAGAAGTACTGAGGGTCTCACAACTGTCCCTAAATGTCACCACGTGCCTCTGTCCTGTGGAGGAAAGCAATCCATACCCCCAGTGACAAGTCCAGTGACAGGTCCCCAGGCCCAGGCTCTTCATGGAGGGTCTGCACTGCTTTTTACTTACCAGAAGGCCTGGACAGGTCCCTCTGGGAGAAATGGGTGAGAGGGCCCTACACGGGCATGAGGGACAGGCTGCCCTCCTGTGGCCTAACATGAAATGACTGGGTTCCTGTATTACAAGGATTTTTCCATTCTCTGCCACCAGTGACCATTATCGAACACATTTGGGTAGGATTTTGCATTTCAAAATGCACTCTCCATCCTCATTTGATCCTTACTAAGAGATCACTTTTACAGAAGCTCAAAGAGGTTAAATTACATTTTTTTTTCTAGGTACTGAGGATTGAACCCAAAGGTGYTTAACCACTGAGCCACATCCCCAGCCCTTTTTCATATTTTATTTAGAGACAGGGCCTCTCTAAGTTGCTTTAGGGCCTCACTAAGTTGCTGAGACTCACTTTGAATTTGCAATCCTCCTGCCCCAGGCTCCCAAGCCCCTGGGATTACAGGCGTGCACCACCACACCTGGACACTGTGTACAATGAATCGAAGAGCTTCTTAGTGTCATGTATAACTGATTAGAACTAATAAATAGGTTTTTTAAAAAGGAAGAAAGAAAATGCTTGACCTTCAGTATTCATTTATGTACTTAACAAATGTTACCGAGGGCCTATGAGGGGCCAAGCCCACTGTTTGGGGCTCCCCAGGAGAAGGTAGGGACAAAACAGATTCCAAYCCCAAGAATTTACAGTCCAGAGTGGGAAGACACACAAAGAACCAGACGCACCACCGAGCCCATTTTTACTGTGATACATTTGATGAAATTCAGAAACTTCACACATGGTAAGCAGGGTGGTAAGATAAGAAACAGCAGGAACGGTGGCTGTGGCCATGACTCAATCCGTAAGCACACTTACCTGGTATGTGTGAGGCACTGGGTTTGATTCTCAGCA